GTCCTGGGCCACTCTGAACAAATGGCTGCTACCCTGTACCTTTACTGCAGCCTGTGCTGAGATGAGGCGCTTGGCACTCATAGCCTGATGGGATGCCAGGGAAGGGTGTCCCAGAGAACCTGCTCTCTTTGCCTGTGTCTGCCTTTTGAGACCTGTAGAGTGAGCTGTGCCTTGAATAGTCTATGGCCCAGTATCCTGTCCTGTTCAGTTCCCAGTCTCACTTTTTCTTGACTGCTGTTGTGCGTCTCATTGGCTCCCACTTTCTGAAATGAAGACAAAAACAAAACTGAAAATGCTCTGGAGCAGTTCTGCCAACTCCTGGTTTTTCCATTCGCTTCCTCTGATAGCCATTGGTTTGGGGAGACTTCCCTTTCCTGCCCCAAGCTGTGGGCCTGTGCACAATAGCCCCTGGCCCACTGCCCATCAGATAACAAGGCTGGCTCTCTGCAGGCAGCAATGTGTATTGGAAAAAGTGAAAGTCTCTGGCTGGAAATAAAAGCTCAGAACCCTTTGCTGTTTTCCCCCAGGCCCCCCTGGTCTGTCATGCTGGCCTCATGGGAGCTAGTCCCATCCCACCTGCAAAACCAGGGGAGAGTTGAGTGACAGCTGGTGAAGGAGAGAATGAGAGTCAGGTGACCATGGATATTTTATCCCAGGGATGTCTCTTCCCAGGTACTCCATGTACCAGACTGAGGGCAGTTCATCCTGTCTGGGGATAGATTTGACCAATATCTGGGATTTCATCAATAAGTAAGAGTTTTTCTTTCCCTCTAATCTGTCCCTTACACAAGGTATTTTTCATTTATTCTAGTAAAACATGTAATGCCTTTTTACTCCAGAGTGGATTGATGAGGGTTCAGTTACACAGAACAGAATCCATTCTGGCCAGTTTCAGGAAGAAGAGATTTAGTGCACATTCTGACTTATGGAATTGCTGGACAAGTAAGAGAAATAGACTCTAGGTTAAAACACAACAGAACTGGGCTACCAAGGGAACTGCTCCCTCTTCTGTAATCAGGAAGCCATCAGATCCAGAAGCACACTGCCCCTGCCATGGCTGGGATCTGCAGAACCATGCTGTGTCTGCTCTGGTCCACAGCAGTTAGTGGGGATGCCTGCACGTGTCTGTCAACATCGGCAAGGCCGGAGACCAGGTGCTGGGCCTCTGCAAATGCTGTGGCTGAGAAACCAAAGGCTTCCGTGACTGTCCAGAAACAGCAGGAGCAGCAGAAAGCCTGAAAAATCTCACACAAGTGTGTCTAATTGGCTGAACCTAAAAGGAATCTTAGAAATACAACTTTTAACTGATCAGCTTCTGAAGTGTAAGAAAACATGCTAGAAGGGTGGAGTGCATCTTGAGTCTAATCCATTGTATCTGCCACACAGAGTGAAGGAGACGAATGAAATTCTATTGAGTTCCTACCAAGAGGTAGCGCTGTGTGGATGCACACCTGTGCCACCACGTTTATAATTCCCAAAAAGGTTATGAGGCAGACAGGTCTCCCCATTTTCGCGGGTGAGGAAATTGAGGTGAGTGTTTAAATCACAGGGCTGATGACTGGCAGAGCCAGATTCGAACCCCGTTCATCTAATTCCAAAGCTTAGGTTTTTTTCAGTGTACCCTCCTTGCCTCGTCAGGTTGCTTCTGTTGATTTTGCCAACATACAGACTGAATTTCTGCAGAACATGTGGGCTACCAAAATGGTGGGTAGCCAAGTAGTCCTGGTTATCCAGAGCCAGAAGTGCAGGGCTGGCACTAGAATAATGTTTGTAAGCAAAGGGTTAGATAGTGCTTGGTGTTTTGGGGATTGGTAGGGCTTGAGGAAACCAACTTTTTTTCACAGTTTCACTGGAATTTTGTGCTGAAATGGCAAGGGAAGTGGCCAGGTACATGATTTTCAACATCTGGGACACTGGAAAGTGGAGTAGCTTTCTTATCCTTGGTCCAGGTTTCCTTATACCTCCATCTTGTCATTGCCTTAGAGCCCTTTGTTAGCCAGATGCCATTTTGCTTTCCTGGCCTCCAACTCACAAATGACTACAGACAGAACAACTCTTGAGTTTGAGCTGTGTGAAACGTGACACCGTGTTTCCCCTGTACTATCAAGAAATCCCCACCTTACCCTCCTTCTGCTCCTGGCAGAAAGGCAACCTTTCTCGTAGTGGGGACCCCCATCCTCTGTATGGGTCACTCACAGGGAGTATATGGCCTGGCCAGTTCAGGGAGCAGTTTTGCCTTCCCGCCACTGTGTTGAACAACATGATATGCCTGCCCTTTTTGGAAATAACTTACGGTCTCAAAATTGCCAGGGCTGATTTCACTGCTCTGTTAGTTCACAGCACAGTATCCCCAAATTTACACTGAGTGCAGCTTCAGTTTCTGCCAGGGCTTAGAAAACTTGGTCAAACAGACTTTTTCCTCCATTGGCTATTGTTTGAGATCATTTGAAAGGCATGGCTCAGATACCTCTTTATCCCAGAACTGGGATAAAGGCATGAGTGAGGTGTTGAGGCAGGAAATCCAGGAAAATTCTATGCCTATTTTCAGTAGTTTTGTTTCTGGCCTCTTCTCTGGAGTCCAGTGGGGGAAGCAGATCATATTAGCCTCAGTGGTAAATTCATTAAAATGTCCTGCTTGCAACTGAAATGAGCCACATGTTCCCAACGACTGACTTCACGTGGGAGACCGAATGAGTCCGTTTCTGAAAGAACATTGAAAAGAATAATTTAACCTCCTTCTTAGAAACTGTGTTTCAAAGAGCAACCCTCCCCACCATTCTTTGGCTTTTCCACTAAGGTATTTTTCTTCCTTTTGAGGGTCCTTGGAGCAGTGGGAGGAGCCACCCTTGGCTCAGGAAGTGAGACTGAGCCCCACGGTCTGTTAGGCCACCGTCTCTTCAGGGTGTTCAGAGAGCCGTGTCTGACCTCTGCTGGCCTCTCAGTAGATGCTTAGTCCCTGGTGTAGGGCTTCTACTTTAAAGTGGTTAAGATGGAACATTTGTTGTTCTATATATTTTACTATACTAAAAGTTTTAAAAAAGAGAGAGAGGGAGAGAGAAAGGAAAAGGTTGGCATTTGGTTGTTCCTGTCTACCAAGGTAGAATGAGTCAGGTCCCCCAAACCTTCAGCTACCAAACTTGTTCTCTCTTTCTTCCTTAGCCATCCCCCCCAGAGCATCTTGCTTGCAGTTTTCATTTCAGTAAACCTCGTGCTACAGCCCCTGAACTAGTTGGAGAAACCAGTTAGTGAGGAGAGCAGACTGCTTTAGTGAGAGATGGTGCTTCTGCTCTGTTCTCAGTGTCTGACAATTCTCCCTGGGTGGGAGTCAGGGGAAGATGTGGGGAGTGTGAGATAAGGGAGTGGAAGGTCCTCGTGTTTCTGCTTTTCCACATAACAGGATAAATTTGTTCCCTCCAGAACAGGAAAAAGGCTCAGGATAAGAGCCCTATATTTAAATTTTGGAACAATCAGAAATAGTTGTATATAGGTGTCATGAAAGCTTTTCCGAACCTTCTGTTGATGGGGTCTTCTGGTTTACCTAGTAAGCTTAGAAAGGGAAAAAGATGCAAACTGCTGGCCTCACCTTTGTTTTCATCTCTGATCATGGAAGGCAACAGTCAGAAAAAGCTCTGAGCTAGGAGTAGGGAGGCACCTGTTTTCCCAGATTCAAAATATGTTATGACAGAAAAACATGGCTTAGTGACTCAGAAAGTGTTTCTGCACACCTTATGTCATTCAGTGATATCAGAATGATAAACTACTCCATCTTACCAGCTGATGTGGTGAACCCAACCCACTGCTGTGGCGTCGATTCCAACCCATAGTGACCCTGTAGGACAGAGTAGAACTGCCCCATAGGGTTTCCAAGGCTGTAAATCTTTACAGAAGCAGACAGCCATAGAGTAGCTGGTGGGTTCGAACCACCGACCTTTTGGTTGGCAGCTGAGCGCTTAACTACTGAGCCATCAGAGCTCCTTAATGTTGTGAAAGTACCGAGTAAATTGATTTTATAGATAAGAGGTGTTCCTCTCGTAACTGTAAAATAGAAATAATGCCTGCCTCCTAAAACTGTGTTGTATTTCTTCTGAGAAATATAAAGTTCCTTGAGTCTTGGTTTCCTCTTGTGTTGAGTAAAGCAAATACTTACCTTCAGGACTGATGAAAGGATTCAGTGAATTAACAAATGTAAAAATACCTTACAGAATGCTTTGCCACGTAGGAAGCACCCAGAAAATGTTTGCCAAACCTCTTTGTAGGGATGTTGAAAATCAAATGAGGTAATTACTGTGAACGTCCAACTAAACGTAAAGCACTATAGCAGTGTAAGGTAATGGTATTACTCATGGTGGCCAGGAAGGATGGGAGTGGGAAAGATGGAGTAAGCAGCCTCCTATTCCTGGCCAGACCATCGAGGGGGCCTTCTTACCTGACATAGGTAGAGACAGGTAAGGGGAGACACTGACTAGAGGAACAGGGCAGCAGAGAGAGATGGAGTGAGATGTAGATCTAGTTGCCTTTCCCTGAACCCCAGTCTCAAAATGCTGCTGGGACCCAAAGTTCAAGAAGACTAGGCTGATGTATTGACCATTTTCCTAGGTTCTTCCTAGGATGGGAGGAAGTAGCAAGGAATGATGGTGCTCTAGAGGGAGAAGGAATTAGAGAGGAGTGACATTAAGGAATGATTATATTCAAAGATTTTTTAAAAAAAATTAATCTGATTGCCAGCTTAAATTAGTTTAATAGGGTTTATTCTGGTTTTTGTTTGTTCCAAGGTTCTTGGCGCCATACACTCCAGTGCCTGCTCCATCTCTGGAGTTAGCTTCTTATTAGGAAGGGACTTTGTTTGCCTCAGGGAGCTGCACTTTCATGGCTATAGTCCTTCAGAGTCACATCCCTGACCTCTAGCGCTTGGTGTTTCTGAGCCAGCCCCGTGTCTGCTTCTCTGTCTCAAGCTGTGTGTCCGGGGCTGTGTTGTCAAAGGCCTTGTTTCTATGCTCCAGGCTCCCAGAACCCTGGCCGAAGCTCTCCTCCCCCTGGCTACGTGCCTGAGCGGCAGCAGCGCATTGCCCGGCAGGGGTCCTACACCAGCATCAACAGTGAGGGGGAGTTCATCCCAGAGACCAGCGAGCAATGCGTGAGTATGGGGGACCAGTCTGTGACCATGGGGTGTGACAGACCAGTGTTACAACCGGGGTTTCTCGGTGGGCATGGTACAGAGCTGAGGGGCTGGAACCCCATCCGATGGCTCTTATAGACCTGTCCAAATATGGATTATTTCTTTCTAGGAGCCCTTTTTAAAAGGGGCCAATATCAATTCCTGCCAAGGACAGGATCTAAACTACCTAGTCTCCTTGGTGTTGGATAAGCACTTAATAAATTTTTCTTCTTCTGTGGTCCTCTTGCTGGTTCCCCTGCAGAATACCACTCAGCTATTTGTATACTTCCTTACAACCGTCCGTCTTCATTTCAGCACAATTTTAACATATGACCAGTCCTAAATGGACAGATTTTGTTTTTCATTGGCTATATTTTACTTTTGCTATTTCTTGATGACAGGTAGGGAGTAAACGATATCCAAATTACACTGTGGGTTGTTACTTTGGGTGAACTTTTATGATGGTAAAAAGCTGTATTATTTATCTGTTGCTACAACAAATTACCACAAACTTAGCAGTTTAAAACACGTACATTTATTATTTCACAGTTTCCCAACTTCAGGGGTCTGGGCATGACTTAGCTGGGTTCTCCGCTCAGGGTCACACAGGGCTACAATCAAGGTGTCGGCGTGGCTGTATTCCTTGTAGAGCTTAGGATTCTCTTCCAAGCTCACGTAGTAGTTGGCAGAATTCAGTTCCTTGTGGCTGTAGGACTGTCGTCCCTGTTTTCTTGCTGGCTGTTAGCCAAAGACTGCTCTTAGCTCCTAGAGGCCACCTGCAGTTCCTTGCCACATGGACCTCTCAAACATGGCAGCTTACTTCTTCAAGGCCAGCGGGAGAACCTCTTGCTGCAGTCTTCAAAGATGGAGTCTGACATAACGGAATGTAATCACAGGAGTGATTGTCCCATCTCTTTGCCATATTCTGTTAGCTAGAAGCAAGTCACAAGTTCCAGCTGCACTCAGGGGAGGGGATTATACAAAGGTGTGACTCACTGGAAGGTCACCTTAGGGTGTGTCCACCACAGTGGCTCACCCATGTTAGTGACTAATGTTTAACCAGTGGCCAACTTGGTGAAAATGGCCATTTGGCCTGATGAACTCAGCAAGGGTGAGATCTGGCTTCAATCTGAAGTCTTTTCAATGAGGTTGCTTTGATTACAAGGAAAAAGATATGGCTCTTATAAATTCCTGGGATTTGGCTCTGGGAAGAGAACATTTCTTAAGGGTCAAATGTCCAGTGGAAGGGCCAGCAGCAACACATGGGGGATTTTATAAAAATCTGATTCTTGTCTAACTTTTCTTTGCCCTCCATAGCTAATCTGTATACAGCATTATTCAAACTATATAGGCTATGAGAAGCGCTTTAGCTGCTGCTTCTCTCTTCTATGCTCCTGCCTCCCAGGTAAATTCATGTTTGAAACCATGACCTGGGGTGCTTTTAGCTAGAGTCTCACTTGGGGATTTTATCGGCCATCCTTTTGTTGTCTCTAACTGGAGCACTTCTGGACATCAGCTGTTCTAGTGGTGACTAGTGTAAGATCTGAGAGTTGCAAATGAGTTCAGTTGCCTTTGGTCTTGTCTCTCCCCATGGTCTTGTACCCTGGCCCCTTCACTTCTTCCGCTTTACTTGTATGACCCTGGGAGACATTTGAGTATTCAACTCCTAATGAAGACAGAGAAATGAGTCTAAGGAAGGTGCCCAGTGGGGAATGCCTAGGTCTTCCCCTAGTAGAGTTGGTGCCTGCCTCTTTAGCTGAAGAGAATTGCTCCTGGAAGTAAGCCATTCAAGATGCGTCCACTAAACAGAGACCAGAGTGACAGTATATAGTGAGAGAACCTTCAATTGGGACTTTCTTGAAAAGCAAAACTAAGTTTATTTTGTTTTTTCTTTAATCAGATTTAACTAATAGCTGCATCTATGTGCTGATTTTTAGAATGAACAGAGCATCTTTCATGTTAATTTTTTTGGTTTAATTTTTGCAACAAAAGTTTTGTCACCACAATGTATTTTCCTTCACTTTCCCTTTGATTTCTGCAGCACTGTCATAAAGAGGGTCATTTCTTTTTGCAGAAGCATTCGTGGGATTTAGCAGTTTTTCCGAGGGCCTTTCTTGAGCCTTTAGCATTCTTCCTCGTGTATCGTACCTGTCATGTTTTACTTGCCGAGTTTCTTTTCTTCTGATAACTGATCTGACTTTGCCAAATACACACTTGATGGATCGAGACCGATTCTTTCCTGTAGTGGTTTAATCCACTCTGGGAAACTCTGTATCCTTAGCAAGATTTATAATTTTACTTTGCAATTAATTTGCCTTCACTGGCAGTTTTTTATGACAATATGACCTAAAATTATGACCATATGACCTAAAGCATTTGAAATTGTTGGTAGGGATGGACCGTAGTTTTAAATGGAAAGAGATATTTGAGTTGGGAACTAATTTTATCAACAACTTATTTGTGAATTTTCATATTTCTGACACTTTGCTTCCCTATGTAACATTTAACTTTGGAGTTCAGATAAAAAATATGCTGATAATGAAGAGGGAAAATGACGGGGGGGCACCTTCAGGAGATTAGTTGGAGAAAGAACTATTCTAAGGCTTTCTTGTTACTGCATTTGACAAAGGGCCAGAGAGACAATTTATGTAGGTACCTGTTGCCCCTGCATTGGAACCAGGAATTGGGAAACTTGTTCAGGTGCTAGCTGTGCACTAACTAGTCATATGACTTCAGTCTCTGTTCTAGGCCTGCAGTGGCTCATCTTTGAAATGACGGCAATCCTTGTCTTTGTAAATTATAAATTACAGAGTGTAAACAGAAGCATTTTGGTCCCACCCAGACTCCCTGGAAGCCTCTGCAGGGTAGTACCATCTCCAGCGCCGAGTGCCAGTGTTAATGAGCCAAGAAAATGCCAACAAGAGAAGCAGTATCTCCGCTTTGCTCTCCTGGCAGAGCTCCTCGGAATGCCAGCCAGGCTCTTATCTCCCTTCTGGAAACTTGCCTTTCAAAGTGGGAGGAGAATAGCACCTTCCTGACTGTTCTTCCCACTCACTCTTGTATTCTCACAGAAAGGCCCCTGTGCTGGCTCTGGCTGGGCCATAAAGCCCTGGGTCACCTGGCTGGGATCTGGAAGGGGCTGTGGTTTCATTGTATGACTTGCCTTGCAGATGCTGGATCCTCTGAGCAGCGCTGAGAACTCCTTGTCAGGAAGCTGCCAATCCTTGGACAGGTCAGCAGACAGGTATGGGACTGTGGGTGGTTTAGGGGCTAGTCCATCGGCATTTCTGGAACTGGTGGGCTGAGGAAGTAGGGTCAGCTAGTGTGTGTCTCTGATCTAGACACTGGTCCATGGCCCCGGGGTTAAATGCCATGCTTCTAGGAAAGAAGCCTCTTGCTGGGTTTCCTAGCCCCCGCTTTTATTTCCCAAACACCTGGAGCATGTTAGGTCTGTTTAGTTAAATGAACTTAATCACAGCTCATAATACTAACAGCTCACGTTTCCTAAGTGCTTTACATGTTCTGACTCTTCACGTGATGTATGCCACTCCTATATGCTTGGCCTCGCTGCTGTGACCTGGACTGAGGAGCAGTAGACCTTTTGCATTTTGCGGGGTCGGGGGGGAGGCTAAATTGCTATCCATGAGTTTACTTTCATTGTTTTTTTCCCTTGAAGTTTTTCTGGTGGAATAGAAACTGGGAGATTAAAAAAAAAAAAAAAATATCTAGACTGTCTAGCTTACCACACTGCCTACCTGGTTTATAATCCTGGTCTTATGCTTTGAGAGGAAGCACCTGCCACCCTGTGCGTACACATGGCTCTGCTGAGCTGATTTGCTCAGCGCTAGGGGTGTGCGTGGAGTTGGTTTTGACACTGATCCAGCCAGCTCTCACCTAAACCTCGTTACGACCAAAAACCATTTGATTGCATCTGGCTGGGATCAGGGCTGTAGTCAGAGGCTACGGAGAAAGACTGGTGATTTTATTTTCTTTGTGCAACTGATTAATTGTTCATGTGGGTACTGAACTTGCGACCTTGGCTGAATTTGTACTATATCTTTCCCAACAGATGTGAGCATTGATGAGTGCTGTCTTCTCTCTAGATACCGTAAAATGCAGTCGTAGTCACTTATTGGTACAATCTGTAGCTTTGCTTTGGGCTTGCTCTCCAACCAGGGGAGCAAGAGGGCACAGGTGAAAGTGCCAGGAGTTGCTGCTGCAAACTGAGGGCTCTACCAGGACAGGGACTGACTCTGGCTTTGGACTACCTCCTAAGCTTTGTGGCTGTGGGGCATGGCCCTCCCTCCACTGGGGGTGGGGGTACTGTACAGAAGGTCTAGTAGATGGGAAGGAGGAGCAGCCCTGGAGTCACTTGAGGGTTCCTGACCAGTGGTTCTCTCAGCAGGTACTCGCGTGTAAGGAAAAGTACCATTCAGGTGGACGCTGGGAAAGATAGATAAACTTACCTGCTTCTCTAGGGTTTTTCCTCTGTCCCTACAGAATGCTTTGAATTCTTTTCGTCTCCTTGGGAATGAAACCCTGTGATCTGGGCTGACTTCGTTGGGACCTGGCCTGACTTGAGCTCAGGATTCTCATTTTCCCTTCAGGGATCAGGGGCCAACTAGACCTAAGTCCAGTCCCAGCTCTGCCAAATAGTAGCTGAGTGGCTTTGGATAAGTCCCTAAACATCTCTGCTTCTCAGTTTCCCCATCTCTAAAATGGACTGGTGGTAATCAGTCTGAAAGGAAGATGCTTAGTTTAGTGGCAAGAACACAGACTTCGGAGTCACACACGTGGATTTAAGTCTGGCTCTGTTGCTTACCCCCTGTACCTTTGGGCAAGTTAATTACTTACACTTTTTGAACCTCCGTTTACCTGCTTGTAAAATAGAGATCTTAATATCTACCCTGCTGGGTGTTTCTGAGGACTAGAAATAGCATAGTAGCTGTTGCATCGTTGGTATCTGCTGTTATTTCATTTTTATTATTTTTCCTACCTCACATGGTTGTGAGAATTAAAGGAGAAAAAGCTCACTTTGTAAAAAAAAAAAACAAGCGGCACTCCATAAACTACAAAGACTCTATATTAAGTGTTGTTGCTGTTTGTAGTATTGCCCTGGGCAAGGGGTTTTCTTTAGCTCTTCACCTGTTGCAGTCACACAAGCCGAGGTCGCAAGGAAGGCCAAGAACGGAAAGTGGTGTGCAGCCAGGGTAGAGTCTGCAGGGCTGAACTGACTTCTCAGGGGCCTGTAGAATTTGGCCCTCAGACTAGGGAAGGGAGAGTGGAGAAAGTAGAAGGCTGTTTCTCTCAGTCACACTCTGCCTCCTACCATGTAATGATGTAGGAGGGAGTTAGGCATGGATGTCCATCTGGACATCCTGCCTTCTGCCTGGTGGGCTGCTTTGGAAATGCGCTCAAGTCTATTTTGTGACTTATTTTTGTTCTCCACAGCCCGTCCTTCCGGAAATCACGAATGTCTCGAGCCCAGAGCTTCCCAGACAACAGACAGGAGTACTCGGGTGAGTTCCTCAAATCCTGGGTGAGCAATGCAGGGTGTCTGGGGTGTTGCAGCAGCCATTCTGCTTTTGACAGCTCTGAGCTGGGGAGCCTGAAGTGTATTTTCATTCTCTTTGGGCCTGCTGCTCTAAGGTCTCAGGTGACCTGGGGGCTTAAGTGGCTCACTGGTGTTGACCTAAACAGAAGCCAGCGATTCCCCTCTCCTCCTCAGATCGGGAAACTCAGCTCTACGACAAAGGAGTCAAAGGTGGAACCTACCCCCGGCGCTACCATGTGTCTGTGCACCACAAGGACTACAATGATGGTGAGCCCACCTCCACCCTGCCCTCTGCTGGCTGCCTTGGGAAAGGGCGGGCTTAGGGCTCGGCTGTAGAAAAGCCAGCTGTGAGGGGGTGGGCCCAGGCACTCCAGACCCCGTGTTTTCCTTTATTCCTGAGGAGTTGTGCCGCAGACATGCGGTATTGGAGAAGAACCAGATTGGGAGGATGATGCTTACAGACCAAGATGCTGCCTCTGGGAACTGTCCTTTGAGCCCAGGGCATGCTGCAGGGCCGTGGGCTCTCAAACATCCTCTTCTACCCTCGGCAGCAGATGGAATGGAGCTACTGCAGAGGGTCTGAGAGCAGGTGGCCAAGGATACCAGAGACTTCAGTCATGGATTGGCTTGCGAGTGATTTGAGGCCTGGAAGGCCAGCCCTGTGCCTTCGCCTTGGCAGGACTTCCTGAAACATCTATGGCCATTACTTCCTAATTCCTGCTTTTGTCCTGATTTCTCAGAGGGCTTGGGGCAGCAGCCTTTCTGGCATGAGTCAGGTGGGAGGACAGAGAGGATGGGCTGGAGCTGGTGCTGTCTGTCACCTCTAGCTAGGACCTGATGTGCACAGTCAGCCCTGTGCCCAGAGGCCTGACTTGCTGTATTCTGGCCCATGCATGCTTTCAGGCAGAAGAACGTTTCCAAGAATACGACGCCATCAAGGCAACTTGTTCACCCTGGTGCCCTCCATCCGCTCCCTGAGCACAAATGGCGAGAACTTGGGTCTGGCTGTGCAGTACCTGGACCCCCGCGGACGCCTGCGGAGTGCAGACAGCGAGAACGCCCTCTCTGTACAGGAGAGGAGCGTCCCGACCAAGTGTGAGGAGTCACCTGGCTAGGAGGAGGGGGTGCAGGGCTCCACGGCTGTTAGGCTCCGCAGCAACTGCTCTGTCCATCCTTAGCACCTGGAGAGCCTTGGAGTGGGCAGCAGGCCCCCCAGACCTTAGGCCTGACTCCACTATTGTGTGACAAGCCACTCTCCTCTCTGGTCTTTAGTTTCTCCGTGTCTAAACTGAAGAGCAGCATCTTTAATTCCATGTTAAGATATTTACGGACTTTGGAAGTAAAGGCATTTGATGAATGCAGAAGAGCATTTAACCATGGTCTTAGCCAGTCCTCTGCTTGTCAGGACTTTGGCCTTAAGTTCTGATTAACCAGGCTTGTTCCAGATTGGGGTGGGGATGCTGTATTGCGGATGGTGCTGGGGGAGGGGGCTTGAGGCAGAGGTCCCACCTTAGAGCCTCTGGGGAATGAGGCAGGGCACCAGTAAATATCGTACATCAAGTAATGCTTTTCCTTCTCTTCTTGTGTAGCTCCTAGTGCCCCCATCAATTGGCGCCGGGGGAAGCTTCTAGGCCAGGGTGCCTTTGGCCGGGTCTATTTGTGCTATGATGTTGACACGGGACGTGAACTTGCTTCCAAGCAGGTCCAGTTTGACCCAGACAGTCCTGAGACCAGCAAGGTACTGCCTTCCCCATAGCAGACCCCCTTCTCAGCAAAAAACGCCCCTTTCATTGCAAGTCAGAGTAATTGCTTGGGATGCTACAGGCTGCTTCCTCAGTCGTCCTTCCTCCAAGCTCCCTTGCTGTCCACCCTGGCCCTGAGGTGAAGGGACCATGGTCCAAAGAGCACCAAGCATGGCAAGGGGGTGGGATGGGGAAGGGACTGGATATAAGGAACTGTGACTTGTTGCCCCAGGCAACCCAAGAGGTGACCAGTTTCACAAAGAGCACAACCTGCCACACCCTCACCAAGCAGCCCAGGGCCAAGGAAGGAGCCACAGGGCTTCATTCACTGGGGCCAGCTCTAAAGGAAGAACCACATGGCCTCTCTTTGGAGTTCAGCTTTGGGTTTGGACAAGTCCAGCAGTTCCCTCAACTAGATACCAACAGCTCCTCCTCCCACCCCACCGTCAGCCTTCTTCCAGGGCACTGGGGTGCCAGCGCCCAAGGGTGCCTGGCATCGTGGCTGAGGGCCAGACAGTGGAGCATCCCCCTTTTTTCCCGCTGGAGTTCCCAAGGCAAACTACTGCGAAGTCCTGACTAGGGCATGCTGAGCTGGTCCCAGCTGGGCAGACCTGGGGCCCTGAGAGCTGCGCTGACCACTGCCCCTCCCCTAGGAGGTGAGCGCTCTGGAGTGCGAGATCCAGCTGCTGAAGAACTTGCAGCACGAGCGCATCGTGCAGTACTATGGCTGCCTGAGGGACCGCGCTGAGAAGACGCTGACCATCTTCATGGAGTACATGCCCGGGGTAGGTGCCCTCTGCATGCGTGTGAGACACACATAGAGAGGGCCACACCTGGGGGCTAGGGGCTGCAGAGGAGACTCAGGGCTCAGGAGAGCTAGGGGAGGTGTCATGGGGCAGGACTTGGCATCAGGAGGCCCTGCCTCTGGCTGCAGTGATGGGTGGGATGTGGCTTGTGGGGCTGGTGCATGAGTCCAGTAAATCCAGCCTTTTTCTGGAGCACAGGGCCCCCCTTCTCCTGGGTTTGCGTCATATGTTGCTTGAGGGAAGGACTGTTTCTTACTTATTCCCAAGCTGCCCAACAGCCCCTAGCAAAGTGCCTGGCACATTGCAAATACCCCTGCCTGCCCCCATCCCGACCTGTGACTCCTTGTGGCTGGTAGGGCTCGGTGAAAGACCAGTTGAAGGCCTACGGGGCTCTGACGGAGAGCGTGACCCGCAAGTATACCCGGCAGATCCTGGAGGGCATGTCCTACCTGCACAGCAACATGATTGTTCACCGGGACATCAAGGGTGAGCGGGGGTCTGGCTGTGTGGGGTCCCCAAGACCTGGTTCAGGTCTGCCACTACTGACTGGTTGTCTTGGGCCAATCACTTAACCATTCTGAATATTGTGAAAAATGGGGCCTTACCTAATTCCATCTTCTTTGAGGGGTTAGTGTGAGGATGGGTTGAGCAATTTGGAAGAATACGGTAAAATGCTCTGCAGATGTTGGCCGTGGTAATGCTCATTTCACCTGTGGGACTGAGGCTTCCCTTCACTAGACTGTTTGCTATGTGCAGTTCTGGCTACTTCAGTGGTAGCCCCTGCCTTTCCCAGCAGCCCTCAGTGACTGACGGGGAAGGGGAGGGGAGAAGGAAGATGGTAGAAAAATGCCAAGAGAGTCTGGGATTGCAGCATCTGCCTTCTCATGCCCTAGGAGCCAACATTCTCCGAGACTCTGCTGGGAACGTGAAGCTGGGGGACTTTGGGGCCAGCAAGCGCCTGCAGACCATCTGCATGTCAGGGACGGGCATGCGCTCGGTCACTGGCACTCCATACTGGATGAGTCCTGAGGTGATCAGCGGTGAGGGCTACGGAAGGAAGGCAGACGTGTGGTGAGCACTGGGGATGTGCCAGAACCCCATCTCCCTGTCTGGGCTGCAGCGGGTCTGACGCTTAGAAGTGAGCCTTGGGGGCTCTTCAGTGTGGCAGGAAGGAGCAGGAAGCTGCCTCTTGCCAGCAAGGCCAGGACTCAGGCTGGGACCCCAGGTGTGTGGTGTGCAGAGGGTGGTGGTGTGCAGCAGCAGCACACTGGGCAAATGGGTTGAGTTTTAACCCCAAATAGCCAACTGTTATTGCTGGGAACTTTGGCCTGGAAAACATCCCTGATGTTTGCTAAATCTCTTAAAGAAGTAGGATCCACTCCAGTGGCCGGCATCAGTCTCTAGGCAGTAGCAGGCTTCTGCCCCTCCCTGAGAGCTCAGGCAGCTGGCATTTGCTGTGTTTCACATCCTTCCTCTGAAAGGGCCAAAGGATGGGAGAGGTCTCCTCCCCTTGGGAAATTATTGTAGTAGGCTGAATAGTGGTCCTCCAGGATGTCCACACACTGATCCCTGGAACCTATGAATGATAACCTTACGGGGCAGAAGGGACTTTGCAGATGTGATTAAGGATCTTGAGCTGGGTTGTCCAGGTAGGTGTACTGTAATCACAAGGGTCCGTATAAAAGGTAAGCAGGAGATCAGAGTGGGGGGTAGGAGATGTGACGATGGAAGCAAGAGGGTGGAGTGATGCAAGGATGGGCCACAAGCCAGGGAATGCAGGTGGCCTTTAGAATCTGCAATAGGCAAAGAACGGAGTCCCTTCTCAGAGCCTGCAGAAGGAACCATTCCTGCTGACACCTTGACTTTAGCCCAGTGTGACTAATTTTAGACTTCTGACTTCCAGAACTGTAAGATAAGAAACTTGTAATTATCTTGGAGCTCTTTCTGTCACTGCTAAGGGGCTCTCTCTTCTTCTCTCAAGAAGTACCCAGGTAGACAGTGAATTATAGGTTGATGAGGCCCCTGTGAGTGAGGGCCAGTGGTCCTTGGTGACCCTTCTGAGGGGTGTCAGCCTCAGCTTGGCACACCCTGCCTCAGTGCGTTCTGAGAAAGGCACCTTCTTTTTTCTAACAGTGGGCCGGGCAGCTGGGAGCTCGGGGTGACATGGGGTTCTCTCTTTGCAGGAGCCTGGGCTGCACCGTGGTGGAAATGCTGACAGAGAAGCCACCTTGGGCAGAGTATGAAGCCATGGCTGCCATCTTCAAGATTGCCACCCAGCCCACCAACCCTCAGCTGCCCTCCCACATCTCTGAACACGGGCGGGACTTCCTGAGGCGCATTTTCGTGGAGGCCCGCCAGAGACCTTCGGCCGAGGAGCTGCTCACACACCACTTTGCACAGCTCGTGTACTGAGCTCTAGGCCACGCTGCTGCCGGCCGCCCCCTGCTACATGGGCAAGGGGCTGCTGGGGGCTCAGCACAATTGCTGCTTCTCCCAGGCAAGGCTGTGGACCCTAGAGCTACAGTCCAGCCAGCGTTTGCTGGGCCTCTTCTGTCCCAGGGCTCAGAGCCAGGGTGGGGGCCGCAGACTCAAGGACTGGGAGCCCCCAGTCTGTCAGACCAGAGGGCTCCAGCGCCCTGAGCTCAGCCTGGATTGGAGGGGCCAGGAACCATGTGCGAGGCGACCATGGGCCCCAGCCTCGGAGTTGTGTCCTGACACCGCAGTCAGCACCGAGGCCCTGAGGTCTGGGGCACAGGACTGATGCAGGGTGTGAATAGTGTTATTTTCATTCAGAGTGTTACTTTGCTTCTGGAGGCCACCATGGGCATCTCGAGCCCACCCAAGCCTGAGATCAAGTCCAGTATTCCCCCAGCCAGTCGAAGGCAGAGGCTGGGCTGCCCTCTCCCCTCGGCCCCCAGGCCAGCTTTGCCAGTCCTGTCCTTTACCAAAGATGAATGAAGCAAATGTTATGCTGCCTTATTCAGGGAAGGAGGCACCTGTCCTGCCTGCCCCTGTGCCCCCACCCCCGCCAAGCAGGGGCCTGAGATGTGGAATTGCCCCTGCTGAGGGGGGAGACCTGGTTTTGTCAATGCAATTTTGTCCGTTTTACAAGTTGGAATGACTTTTATGCTGTACCCAGTTTCTAAACTGGAGACCTTGTGTGCCCTCTGGGCTCTGAACACCAGTCGTGGGCTCGAGCCTTGGGCTGGACAAGATGCTTGGCCTGTGCTCCTGGCCTGGTGTCCGTTGCCCCACTGGAGCAGAAGAAAGGTGGACAACACAGGGCGGGCCTCTGACCTGGGGGGCTGCAAGTCACGACCCTGCTGGGCCAGAGCCCTCTCCATTGGGCAGAAGGGCAGGGCCACGTGCTGCCGCCAGCTGTGTGCAGACCGCCAGCTCTGCTCCTCCTTAGCCAGCCTGGCCTATCCCCAAGAGGTCTCAGCCTTGTGCCCTTCTTGCTCCTCCCCTGGGGGAGGGATGGCAACAGGGGTTGGGGAAACAGTATCTCCAAGCAGCTTAGAGTTGGCCATATTTACCTCAGCCTGGGCGCTGGTCCTTTCTTCCGGCCCCTCCCCTCCAAAATGTGCCTATTGCTAAAGCTCCTCCCTGTCGACACTCAGTTTCCTTGGGAGTTGTCATTAAAGAGAAAATAAGCCAGTGCCCAGGGAAGGGCGTCTCTAGGGAGTTGAGGATTAGCACCAGGCAGCTCATCGCCAGCCATGCCCACTTCCCCACGGGCACCCGAACAAGCCAAAGCCTTCGTTGTATGTTGACGATGCACTTTTATGAATGTAGTTTCTATCGCTGTTTTTAGCCTTCTCACATCATGTAATGTGAGGCCTTGTACTTGTTAATTTATATCTCAGATCATATTTGATGGTTTTTATATATATCAATTCTAGACTGTTACAGGTGATGGACGCCTCGAGAGAGAGAAGAGAAAATGAAAGCAGCTGGTTTTGCAGAAATGCATGGTGCCACCTGGGCCTGGGCCCCTCCATTCCCACCCCACCCCCCACTCCAGGGGCCTCTGTCAGACACCCCCAGCCCTGCCCTCTGAAGACAGTGAGCACATGCTCCTGCCTCCACCTAGGCCCTGGCCCAGGGTGGGGACCGGCCCCTCCTTTCGACCACAGCTGCTTTGCCGCAGCTCGGCCTCTCCGTGACCCCGCCCTGATGGCGGTAGCATTCTTCTTGGCCTGCACCCCCACCCCAGTACCGGTGCCCCAAGAGGAAACAGCGTGGTGCTGGCTCTGACAAGACGAAAGGACTTTGCGTGTCCTGGGTTCAGGCTCCCACAGAGCCCCACCCCTGGGGTCTTACCTCACAGGGACTGTGTTCTAAAAATGAATTTGAAAATAAGCCAACAAACCCTGCTCTCCAAAACAAAAACAACATGATTTTTTTGTGCCAAAAACTGTGGACATGCTGGCTCAGCATCCTCAGGACCAAGCTGTTGCTTAATTTTAATTTATTTTTTTTTTATTAAATAATCCAGATAAAAAGTTGTGGGGCCCTAGGATGGCCTGGGCCCAAAGGTTCTGAAGTGCACTTTCCTAACAGCCCCCAGGCTTGCTGTGGGAAGGGGCCGTGCTGCCATTTTCTCATCATTCCATGGGTATGTCTGCCTTGGCCAACCCAGCACAGAGGCCAGGGCTGGGGCTAGTCCTCTCTCTGCCGCCCCTCCTGACCTCCCTCCTCCACCAGCTCTGTCTGTGTCTGAATTGTGGATTGTGCAGGAGAACCTGCAGCCATAGTTATTAGACTATATCTTGACCGAGGGCTTGCAGTGCAAAGCCAGGCCAGTGTCGCGCATTACTTACAATAAAAGGGATCATTTATACCAGAGGGGTCCTGTGGCAGTGCTTTCAGTTGGGGTGGGGGTAGGGAGTAGGGTCTGCCTGAGAGGGGCCAGGTATGGGGCCTCAAACAAGCTTGGGCTTCTCGGGAACATTTCAAATGGGTCCAAGTGGAGGGGTCCTGGGGTGACTCGGTTGGGTACCATTGTCAGGAGGTGGTTCCTGCCCCCCAGGAGCACCACTGAGGGTGGTTCCACCAGGGTTTTTTGCTGAGGCGACTGTCAGCCCTCCAAGCTGGAGCTTCACCAGTCTGAGGCAGCCCAGCCCAGCCTGCTGCCTATGTTCTGTTGCAGGAGGGTGTCTCAGGCCTCCCAAGCTTGTCCTGTTTGCTGTAACTGTTGCCCCGCAGTGCCTAGGGTTTCAGGAGAAGATGGCAGTGTCTCCTTGGACTGCTGGGATGGGCTGTGGCCGGCCCACTTCCCAAAGCTTAAAAAGAGGCAAGGTGACAGCGATGAGAAGGTAAAAGGGCACAGGGGCTAGGAGGGGCACGAGGGGGCAGACGCCAAAACCCTTGGCAGCATTTGCTGGGTCTGCTGGTTCCCACCACTCCTTGCTGATTTCTGGGGCAAAGGAGGCTCAGACAAGGACTCAAGAGGGTTCTGTCTTGTACCCAACATCATTATGTGCAGCAAGGCCAGGTGCTACCCCCACTAACTGCCTGACCCTCATGCTGTCAGGCCTAATGCTTCTTCAGAATGGGGTGTATATATGAGCTGAGGGCCAAGTGAAGTTTCAGTTTTAAAACTCCTCTGGGTTTGACAGCATTGAAACCTGGTTGGGAAGAAGAGCGCCACCCCACCCCCACCCCCAAGCTGGCTGGTATTTCCCTAACACGCACTGAAGGCCCCCCAGCCCCCATCAAGGCCAGGAGGACTCCGGGTCAACCCTATGCCCCTTCCCCTCCCCGTGGGGTGTTCGCATACTTCCTGCCACAAAGCCCCCCCATCAGGCCACATAATATAAAGTCAAGATCTGTTTAAACATGTTTAAAATGCGGTTATCACAACAGTCAAAACCGGCAGAAACAAGGGGCTGGGGGGGAAGGGAACACAGCCTGGCCAATCCCGCTGCCAGTCTCTGTGGTTCTCAGCCTGGTGGGTGCTTCAGCTTCCACTTCTTGACTCCCGTGGTGCGAGATGGTCTGCAGCCCCACTGGGGCACGTCCTGCCTTGCCAGGGGCAGGGCTGCTCTACTTCCCCATCCCTTCCCCATGCGGCCATGGTGGGCATCCTGTGAGGCCCAACAGGTGGTACTCTTGATGTCCTCCCAGTCTCCATGGCTCAGGACCAGGCTAAGGGCAGAGGTAGATGGGGAGACGTGGGGGCCACACAGGGCACCAGGTGGCAGTGAGAGAGCTTGGGACCCTGAGGGGGACATGCTGACTCCTTGCTGGAGAAAAGGCACCTCAATAGGGAAGCTGGGCTTGGGGGCCTCCCAGGGGGCCACGGGGTAAGGTGGGGTGGGGTGGGCTGAAAGCAGCAGGAAGCAGGATGGCAAGCAGACCCTCAGTCCTGGCTCCCTGACCCCTACCCACTAAGGGAGAATGAGGGAATACTGGAGCAGAGTCCTGCCCCATAATCCTCCCCTGAGCAAGATGGCCTCACCCCTTCCCACCCTGCCCCCACCCCAGCCAGCTCCAATCTCCTTCCCACCCCCCACTGCTCCATCCAAGCCCTCTAGGGCACTAGTGACAGGTCAGTCGGGCCTCAGGCTGTCTTGGTGCCAGGGTCCACTTCCTTGTGGACCCAGAGCTCCTTGTGCTGCTTCCGGCCAAACCCCTCATCGTAGTTGCCTTTGCTCTTAAACAGCTGCTGGAAGTGGGGTTTGCAGTAAAACTCTCCGTGCAGTGCCGCGTAGCTGCCCAGGCTGCAGAGGCAGAACAGCTGCGGTCAGGTCGGATCACTGCTGGTAAGCAAGGGTGAGGGCAGGCTGGGCAAGGGCGCACCTGAGCTTGGTGTGACAGTGCTTGCAGCAGAAGCAGGAGTTGTGAAAAACGAGCTTATCTGCCACCAGCCGCTCCATAGGGTACACTGTCTTCTGGCAGGCAGCACAGGTCTCCTTCACCTGGGCCCGGAGGCTGAAGGACTGTAAGGTAGAGACTTAGCCAGGGACCTGGCCCATGCCCGACCCGTCCTCCCCTGACACCCACCCCAGGGCCCTACCTTGGAGCGCTGAACAGTGCTGCTCCCACCACTGCTTTTGGCTTCCTAGGGAACAGGGACAGCAGGTCAGCTCAGGGACTCCCCTGCCCATGGCTGCAGTCCCCAACCCGACCTCAGTGGCTCCCAAGAAGGGGCATAGGTGGCAGGCAAATCCACTGTTCCTCACCCCTTTACCCCCAGGCCAAACACCTGCCCAGGGTCTCTCCCACCCTGCTGGTCACCTACATGAGAGGGGGTGGCCTGGGCGGCTTCTGTAGCCTGGAACATGGCTCGTTGGAGGTGGTGGAGGCTTCGGGTGGGGACGCCGCACCCGCTGGGTTCTGCAACGGGAAGTCGGTCGGGAGGGCCCCACAAGCCCTTCCCCAGCCTGCAGGGTGGGGGGTGTTTACAGGCTGGGGGCTGGGGGCTGCGGTTGGGACTTTCCCTAAGTCATTTCCTGTTGCTCTAGGTCTTACTGCTTCCGCCCCTCACCCACCTCCCCCTGTGCCTGCCTGCCCCCGACGCTGCTCCCGAAGGGGCAGCGGTCCCTGAGTGGAACCATGTGTCAGGCGAAGAAGAACAAAGTTAGCGGGGAGTGGCTGGGGGGCTCACCGCGCAGCCGCCCTGCGCGCCCCGCGGGCCGGGGACTTCGCCAGGGGAGATGGGAGGTGAGAGGAAGGCGGGCCGGGCAGGAATTGGCTGCCCTGGCGTGACCCCGGCCCGCCGCTGCCTG